TTTTAAAAATTTATGTATAAGTAAAAGTTTTAATTTTTGATGGATCACTGACCACTTTGTTTCATTTACTAGTATTTAATGACCCACCAAAAATTTCAACTTGGCCCAGTTGATCATAAAACTTGAACAACCAAGTAGCCATAAGTATTCCCACTTCAACCAATAGTAACTAAATAACTTGATTAATTTTAAAAAATCTTTAGATTTATTGTTTACTATACAATTTTTTTAATAAAGTAAATAATTAAATTTATATTAAACAATGAAAAACTGGAAGCTACATCTGATTCATACAGGCTTTTTATACAGGCAGAGAGAATACATTAGAACTTACGCTGCTTACTTCAGTAGTATTTTGTACAAAGGTAGTACTCTCTTCCTCTGGTTCTCCTTTTACATCATAAATAGTTTCAGCCATCACAATTCGCCCTGATGAATCCATAGTCCACATACCTCCAAATGCAAAGTTTGAAGGGTTTCCACTTTGCTCATATAGGATCACTGTATTAGGACCTGGAAATGACACATATAAAAGTTAAATGTATAAATTAACAATTCTCTCATACAGCAGTTGACACGCACGTTTAACTCATTAGGTTCTTGCAATGTAGGGTAATCTATAAACTTACCTAATTGGACAGGTTCTCCCTTCATGTTTACAAACACAGGTTGTTCAAAATTTCCCTCGACCAGCTGACCCGTGTGCACTATTTGCTGTCCCTGTTCAACCGGCACCTCCACTACCTGGTTTACAACCTCCACTTTTTCCTTATCACTTTCAGCTTTCCCGCGATTGACCATAATTTTAGTTTTTTTCTCTGTCTCCACGGGTTCATCACTTTTTCGTTTTATAACCACCCTTTTTTTATTTTTCTTGTCCATTTTTACACTTTACCTTTTTATTTCGTACTAAAACACTATTACAATACACGGCGACGCGTTAATATTTAGATTTTTACAAAAATATACACCTTGCCTGCTGTCAGACATTATCCACAAATAAGAGCGTATTACAAGATACAGTTTGCAAAAATAGTAGGCAAAGATGAGAACAATGTAGTTTAATTATTATGTAGAAAAATATTGCTATGAAAATCTTTTGTAATTGAGATAATTTGAAAAATAAGCTTTGTGAGAAAAGGACAACTCAGAAAGACGCCATTTTCACAAGAACGTTAACTTTTTCTCTTTCTAGCTTGACATCACAGCTTGACATAGTGGTAGTAGTAGTTCGTCAATGGGACAGGTCTAGCTTGACATAGTAATAATCGTTCAGAAATCGAGTGCTTTATGTGGCGATTACACCAAGCTAAGTGATCGATGTTAACAAGTGATACGAAGAACAAATGAGGAAGTATTTAAAAAAAAAAGGAAGCACTAAAGAAGATGGTGACCCTAACAAAAGTTGAATTGTGCAGGAAACGAATGGACCAAAGATAGTCATTTTCGTTCCTTTTAACTAACATATTAAAAAACTGAAATTTGCAAAGTTCGAAACTTAGATATCAATACAAATACGAAAAAGAACAATGGAATATGAGTTGTTTATTGAGTTTTCAAATTAATTTACTTTTATACATAAAAATGACATTAATATATTATAATAATTTTTTAATTTTTTTTAAATATTATAATAAAAAATGCCTAGACCTACTATGGCATAAGTATCTTAAAAAAAACTATTATTCAGTAATATTATTGTATACCATAGCTAAATGCCACATTTAATAATTTCACAGCATTCATTCTCTTCATTTCCATATTTTTTAAGAAACCTTCTCTATTATTAATTCTATTATTATGGTTTCCATTTTCCTTGATACAAATAAAAAAGATTTTTTTCTAAGATAAGTTCGTATTAATCGAGAATTAAAAAAGAAAGCGCTAAAAAACACCTCACTAGATGGAGACCCCAGCAAAAGTTGATTTTTGCAGGAAACGAATGGACCAAAGTTAAGAATTTCCGTTCCTTTTAACTAACTTATTAAAAAACTAAAATTTGTAATGTTCGAAACTTAGATATAGAAGCTTTATATATTATAGAAATTAAGCTTTATATATTATAGATACAAATACGAAAAAGTATAAATAGAACATGAGTTATTTTACTTTTATACCTGAAAGAAACCGGAAGGGTTGTCATGGAGAAATCAAGAAAGTACCGTACCGATTTCGAGAACTAATGTTTTTTTTTAAATACTTCCTCTATGAATCTAAAATTATAACAACTGTGCTACTACCATTCACGTTCATACTCGTAACGTAATAGGTAACTACTAGCTGCAGTAAAGGACCGCTTGCCATTAGCTCATTGATAAGTCCCGGTAAACTCGTGTCATAGCCAGCTCACACACCCGCACCGCTAATTGCTGTTTGTTTACTGTCACTGCCGCGATGGCTTATTAGTTTTCATCTCGGTAGTATGTGGCTATTATACGTGTTAATTTTATAGCCGGTGAGAATGCGAGTGCCGCTGTTCGTATGTACAAAGAACACTATCCAGACACTCGACAACCAACAGTGGTAACTTATTTTTGTGGAGTAAGATTAAAAGACGAGTGCCCATAAGTGATGTAGCAGATAGACTGTAGACTGGATTATCAAAAGCGGGCAAATAGCAGAGGTCGCAAAGTAAAACACTTGGTTCGGAGAAACTCGGAGAACGTTCGAAGGCAGAACATGCTTTATTGCGAAAAATCGATTACTTAAGTACAATTTGGTTGCTCGTACTTATCTCATATACAAATCAGTTATCTTATAAGATTTCTTAGAGTGGGGGTACGCTACCCCGCACCGCGCGGGGAGGGGAAGGTTTCGCTGTTTTCCCGCTGGTGGCGCTGTTGTCGCGACGTGGCTCGATGTCCTTTAATATGTGCTGTTTCAATTATATCACTTATAATTGAAACAGCACATATTATTTGACGAAGTGAATCGGCAAAGAACCATACTTTTATCGTTAAAATACCAATTAAATAAAACGTGCTCATCTGTGCATAAACAATGGAGGGGGACACTTTAAACAGTAATAAAAATACGTGAAAGTTTTTAAGTTTCGTAAATAGGTAGGTAAACTATTGTGCTACTCGTACGAATTAACATGACACCTATTTTACCTGTCCTCGAACAAAAATTTGAAAAATCTCAAATCGTTCTTATAATTCTGTTAAAATCATATCCGTCAAGGTTATCGTTGTATCAAAGGCAGTATCCTTCGTCCCATTATTAATTATCGAAAATTGCATTTCTCTGGAGTCGCATTAGCATTTCAAAAATTGATGAAATTTTGTTATCGGAGTAGAATAGGCCGGTAGGTGTCATGTTAATTTGTACGAGTAGTAAATATTGATTGATAAAAATACGCCAAATTGACTTTTTTGTTTTATTGCTAGCAATAATTTTGATATTTCAGTTTTTTCATTGCAAATTATTATTAGTCAAAAAGGTAATTTTGTCGCTCCTAAGCCCGTTTAAAGTATGATGGAAAAGAACATTTGAATAAATTACCTATTATTTTCAAGACCAAAGTCAATGCCCGGTGAATGCATAGCCAATTTTATCATAGTAAAATGTCAATGTACGAAATTTGGTCATTGTCAATCGTGCCTTGTTCTTTTAGAGACCGATAAACGAGACGACACGATTGATTGAACATTTATGTTACCAATGGGTTACAAATTACGCCCAGAAATTGAACGATAATATGGGATATAAACAAATGTCAATTACTTAGTTGTTTATGAATATTATAAAATTTATATTATCCCCACTTATAAAAAGGCTTTCCTTAATTAGCTTTTAAGTTCTTTGTAGTAATAAAAAATGGTATTGTATTTTCGATGAAAATAATTGTTTAAATTTAAATTTTGGTATCTTGAACTGTTTTCGCAGCGCACGCAACGGAAGCGTGGCTGCGAAAACAGTTCAAGGCTGAATAATTTTTTCCACATTTTCCATTATTTATTCGCTCCTAATAGTTGCAACCTGATGTTATATAGCCTAAAGCCTTCCCCGATAAATGGTCTATTCAACACAAAAAAAAATTTTCAATACGAACCAGTTGTTCCTGAGATTAGCGCGTTCAAACAAACAAACAAACTCTTCAGCTTTATAATATAAGTATAGATAACATGAAATAACTTATTTATCAATGCAAAAAAGAAATTGAAGGTAAATTTTATATTTTGTATTTGTATCTACTCTGATTTTGTTTATAAAAATGATCTACGAATTTTATGTATAAATACAAATTTTTCATATCTCTAATAACACTGTTTTAACATGACAACTTCTTGTTTATGTGTGACGTCACACTCCGGTAAACAAAACCTGTTATTGGTTGCGACGTCGTTCATTAAAATTCCTAAAAATGTTGTATTTTCTTTAAGTTATTTTACTAAAGCTTCAGACTTCAGAAAACCAGAGGATCATTTCTGGGTAAATGCATTGCTATATTCAATAAAGTTCCACAAAATGTAGTTGACCTACCCATAAATAAATTTAAAATTCATGTAAAGAACATACTTATGAGTAAAGGCTATTATAAAATTGATGATTATTTTAAGAATCGCAATGCATGGAATTAATAGCCTTCGCTTTGTTCTATAAAGACTAATTATATGTTCAACCTATGTCCTACAGACTTTGAAAGTTGTATTTATTATTGTGATAATACATATTATTTTGGTAATGACATGATTTATGTAAATGTCATTACTTATGATAAAAAGCTGGTAAGTTTCTTTCGCTTGTTCTTCTTGTCAGCTAAAAGACGTCCTGAACAAGTGGTAGGGAAAAAAAAAATTTTTTTTTGGACGATTCAAATGTGCTTGTAATAGCCTACTTGAATTAAGACATTTTCATTTCATTTCATTTTTAAGTGTCAAGTATCTTCACTCGGCTATGTGGGAAAGACTACGAAGGGCCATAATATATAGATATGAGTTGGGTGGTGTAATCACCACTTCAACTGACAGTTGACTGGAGTTGACTAAAAGTAATGTGATTTTGACGTGAATTCATCAAACGTGAAAATAATAATTGAGGGTCAGATAATTTCATAACCTTGCGAAATTATTTTTAATTAGATATTATAAAGTGATTTCAAGCCTTAATCAACCAGTTTCATGCTTATTTTAAATACTCTGTCAATACTTGTTCAAGTGGTGGTGATTGTGTTTATGTCGTTGCTGTCTATGAATATAATTCGGTATTTTTCTGGCCCCTTACGAAAAATGAGTGCACTCGCTCCAGCTATCTTCGTTAATCACGGTGGAGGCCCTCTGCCACTTCTAGGAGATAAGGATCACGTAGGCCTTACCAACTTTTTGCGAGATGAAGTCAAAAAACATCTTAATTTGGCAGAAACAAAGGCTATAATACTAGTAACTGCTCACTGGGAAGAGAGTGCAGTGACGATATCGTCTGGTAAGAAACACAATTTATATTTTGATTATTATGGTTTCCCGCCAGAATCTTACAAATATAAGTATGATGCACCAGGGGATCCTGAATTAGCAAGTCGAATTGAACAAGCATTGACTAAAGAAGGAATAAAGTCGAGACTAGATCCTAATAGAGGTTGGGACCATGGTGTGTTTGTACCAATGATGCTTATAAACCCAGCAGCCAATATACCAATAGTACAAGTGTCTGTCCTCAGCAGCCAGGATCCAGAAGCACATTATAAACTTGGAAAAGCTTTATACCAATTCAGAAAAGAAGGTATAGCTGTACTAGGATCCGGAATGTCTTACCACAATATGAGAGAATTTATGATGGGCCGCACTGGGAAAGTAGTAAATGAGGAATTTGATGAATATTTAAATAGAGTTTGCACAGAAGAGGATGAATCTAAAAGAAAACAAGGATTGTTGATGTGGAGACAGCAGCCTGGGGCCACAGAAGCACATCCAGTTCGAGCGGCTGAGCATTTTATGCCTCTAATTGTTATTGCTGGTGCAGGTGGACCAAAGGCTGGTACTAGAATATTTAACTGGGATATGAGCAGAACATTCCGATTGAGTGCATTTGTATGGAAAGATTAATTGTTGTTAATCTGTTACTCCAAATCTCTTTTAAATATGTTACTTTTGTTAATTACATCCATTTTATCTTGTAGAAAATTACTTCAATATTTAGTTTTCCAGTTTCGCGTGGCAGCAAAGGGATTTTCTATAAGATAAATATTGATGTAGTATTGCAAAAGCAAAATTTATCAAATACACTGATATTGCAATAAGTTTAATCGGGCATAAATAAACCTTTTTGCAGGTTTTTAGGTTTGAATTTTGTATATAAGTATTGTTTAGATGGTTAGCTAAAATACATAATTTTAAATCTAAAATGGTAGACTGACACTTCTATTCAGAAACCAGCTGTTAACCTATATTTAAAATCAAATAAATCAGTATACCCGAGCCAAATAAATGATTGCTAAGAACAGTATGATAAATAAATTGATATTCTTAATGAAAAATGCTTTAAAAATCCACATTGTCCCTGGCATCTTGAGATGGGGTGCTCTGTTAGAGCAGTTGACCGGATTGCAAATGGTCATGGGTTTGAGTACCATCTCGGAGTGCCAGGGACAAAGCGGATTTTTGATGCATTTTTTACTTAGGATATTTTTCGGTATAGCATTGTGAATGCAAAACTGATCAAATATGATAAATAAATTCATTTTCATATATATATGCAATATGGTGGACTGCTCAAGATGGACGACTAGTTATCTTTAAAGGACTTTCATATATGATAAAAAGAATAAATGTAAAAAAATATTAATATCAATAATCTTTTGAAATTTCATCAATAGGTGTATAATTAGTCTTGAAATAAACATACAATGAAAATTACACAAAAGAAACTTTAAATACTTGTGTATTTATGAAGATTTTAACAAACTGATGAATTTCTCAATTGAATACCTATAATTTTTATAATGACTTATAAAAAATCATTAATCATGCATAAACTTTGTTACGAATATAATAGGCTAGTTGCCAACTTTTTTTTTATTTCATAAATAAATAGTCCATTAACATCTGAGAAATAATGTCGAAGTAACAGCATGTCTGCGATTAATAGTTTCGGAGATACGGTGCTGTGTTTGTAGAACTGCTGCTAGTCGGCCGAAAACGCTCCCTACAAATTCCTGTCACTAAGTGACGTCACATGGTGGTACTGTAGCGAAAAATGTATGGGCGTCTGGACATTTTTTGTAATATCTTTATTATTTGTGCGTTTATGTTTATAGTTGTTATAATGAAAATTGTAACATTTTTTATATCTAATTTAATGCCTAATGTATTTTAGCAAATTTTTGTAGTAGATTTTTTCTACTTTTTTCAAGTTTTCAAAGCGTAAAATTTTCCAAATCAGTGACTTAAAATTTGTTTTGTTAAACAATTATAAGTTAAAATGGTTCATATTTTTCGAAGATATAACAAAAACCTGTATTTTCACTTGTAGGACACAAGCCTATTAAATACAACAAACTTATTGTAAGTGTAAACTTACCCATAGTTATTTATTTACAATATATACTGAATCAGTATTGTTAGCATTAGGTGCTTGTGATTTTACAGTACATGTAGCACTAACAGAAGTGGACGAAACTTGTAAAATTTTATCTGCCAATACGGACATCTTTTCTAGGCATAGGTCAGATTGAACCCAGTGGGTTCCTTGCCCGATCCCGGGTCCTTCCTCCTCCCCCCCACCACCCCCGCAGGGTACTCGCAACGGGTTTTACCAGGTAGACCGGCCTCGCTTAAGCCTGTCCTTTTCAGGACGGCCCTGGTTTCAAGTTTAAGGTTGCACATCCCCTGCGTAAAAATCATCAGTATTGTTAGCAGTAGGTGCTTGTGATGTTACAGTACATCTAACAGAAATGAGTGAAACTTCTAAAATTTTATCAGCCAATTTCGATATATTTCCTAGGCTTAAGTCAGTTTGTGCAGTCAAGATGGCTTAAACTGTTAGAGAGAAGTGCTGTAAATCTTTTTCTTTTCAATTTCTTTTCAAATAGCCTACCAGAGATCGTACATGTCGCAGGAAATCACAGGGCCTTATATTTCTATTTTATTCAAGAAAACTGTATGTAAAGCAGTATCACATTTTACAGTACGCATTCCCATGTATTCATGGATTTTTATGAACCATCATATGGAACACGTTATTTTGAAATCGCTGTAGTACTTCAATGTTACAGTTACTGACTGTAACCCACAGTTCTGTCGTTATTCCAAACGGGCTTGAGAACACTGTTATAGACCAGTACTTTATTATTAAGTGAGAGTCGACAATCCGGCCGAGTAACCAGAGTATAAACACGAATCGCAAGTTTAGTTCATCACGAATCACAAGTTTAGCTCATCACGAATCACAATTCTTAAATGTTACTGTCATGTCTGCCGTCTGTCCAGGTGTATGCCCAAACATCTCACGTCATTTTTGTGTGGTAGAAATACACAAATTAGTGTGACAAGTTTTCAGATTGCAGTCTTTAATGTGAAAGTGGCATGGAGTGACTTGGAAGCACTAGCCTATAGTCTCCTTAATTTCCAATTTATTGAAGATATAATTTAAGTTCTTTATAATCCAACAAATTATTTTGTGTTGGTGATTGAATTCCATTTTCTCCTAATTGGCTCCTAACAAACAAACCTCGTTGAAGCCTCAGGCATCACATCAAGCCAGGGTTGTCATGTTCTATTGGTATATTAATAAGTATATTATTAATGATAATAAACACTGCTAAATTGAAATTGTAGCTTTATAATGGAAAGCTATAAAAACTTTATAGACAGATTATACCTAATCATGCACTATCGTGACAGATCTTTTTAAAATGAATTAAAGCTAACAAATTCGTCTGCATGAATTTTAATACAGAAAAAGTATAGACATACAGAAGTAAACAGATAATCAAGACTACAATTACTGTGTGACTTTATTTATAGACTCGTTTATGACTATGTTTCAAGAATAAAAAATATTGAATAAGTAGGTAGTAACTTATATTTAGTTCTAAAAATGTGGTCAAGGTGTTTATTATGATCGTATTTTATATGATTTAAAAAAGATATTATACACATGAGAGTAAAAATTTAATTCATTATTTATTTATTTGTATTCTGAGGTAATGGTATTGAGTAAATAAAAGACTTTATTTTATTTTTTCAAGGATATATGTAAGTTAATAAGCACTCATTAAATTAAAGGTAAGAGAATGTATTTATTATTAATAAAATATTGATATAGCACGGCCGCTGAATGGGAAGAATTGCGTACGTTGACCTTTGTGCCTACTAATAGATGTCGTTACCATTTTATGTTCACTTTACTATGACAAATTTGGCTAGACGCATCTGTGCGAACTCAATAGGAATATGTTTGAACGAGTGAATGTAATGGCGGGTTTTTGCACGAATTTCTTTCTGTTCGGTGACCGTGCTATAGCTGAATTCAGGGCCACGTTAATCATGTTGCGGGTAATCCGGTTAGCACCAATATTGATTAAGTTAATAATTTCATAAGATTAACCCAACACTATATGGATTTCCCGCAAAAATATAGCAGATAGCCATCATATTTGATAAGATTGATAAAATTAATAAAACGTTCTACAGTCGTCGTAGCAAAGCACTCGATTACCTACTTCAGCTCAAGATTTGTAGATTTGAAAACCCTGTTGATAGTGGATTTTCTGTGTGGTATTGAATGGTGGTGTGGTTATGTAATACAAATTGTTAACCGATTACCAAATGTTGTGGTTCTACAAGTATGCCTTAAACAAAAAACTGCCTAAAATATACTGTAAATAATTGTTTTAAGACAATGACAAATATAATTTTTTAATGATTTATGTTTATTATTTGACTATCACCGAACCAACTGCCATCGGTTTTGGGAACTATCATTTTAACGGAAATATTTCAAATATAATGTTATTTAATAATTTCTTGTATGTTTCGTTATATTTTAGTCAGCAGTCCGTCCAAGATTGTAATAAATCGTCTATATTTGAATATTTGATAAGGTAATCTCTTAGAGGTTCTCATATAGGTTTAGATATGTAGTTTTGAGGGTTTACTTTGTGACAAAAAAGAGGAAGTTGGTTTATATTTGTAGATTATAGTAAAATGGTCTTCCACACAATAAGATTTGCTAGTTAGAACTTGAGAATCTTTTCTTTTTTTTTATATTCGTGCGGAAATCTTTACGTGCGAATCCGACTCGCTCTTAGTCTATTATTATATGTCTTACGACCGGTTTCTGAATTATGTAAAGTACAAACTCTCAACTTCATTATTCTAAACAACACAACATTTTTACTTTTGGAGAGGTAAAAAACCTAGTTTTTATCAAAATACTATCAACTGGTTGTTATAAAATCAGAACGAAAACCTAATTAAGTACCATTAAAATACAGTTTGAGACGTGCTTAACTTAAAGAAACCGAGTGTTATAAAATGACACTTTGTCGCTTAATTAACGATTAAATACTTTTAAAACCAACATTGACTTCGAAAATACATAAAGCCTACTACGCGGTAGTAGATAAGGCGGTTATACTTAAAAAGTTACCACATGTACCTAGATCTGTAGGTAAATAGAGCAATTCTTCTAACTTTGTACGCCTGACACTTATTTAAATGGCTTGGTCGTTTACCGACGGTTACCGTCAGTCGGCTTAAAGTCAAAAATTAATTCACTGTTCATTACTTTTCTGTGATTCATTAGTTTTGATACAAACGAAACGTCCAAGCCACATGTTTTGACTTAGGCGAATAAGAAATCTTTGGACTATGGTATAACAGTGGTGTTACATTTCGTTCACTTACTTTATCACAATTAGTTAATTTAATAATGGTCTGTGGTAAGACTCAAAATGATTATGATTAAATGATTGTTTATATAATTCCTTAATAACGTATTAAAATCGTTTAACTTGTTGTTTTGAATGATATCCATGTAGAAAGATAGAATTGGTAATGCAAAATTGGTTGAATGAATGTATTTAAATCGTGTAATGGTCTCCTACGTAAAGTTGGCAGCATTGTGGTGACGGAAAGTGCCATTAAAGTTAAGAAGAAGAAGAAGGACTATGGTATAAAGTTTGTTACATTTACACTCGGTGATGTTTAATTTAAAGCAACATTACAGATACAAATTTAGAACGTTTATGCAATTGATCATAGGCTTGAAGATTTAAAAACTTGGCTTTACAGGAGATCTTATAACTTTTTGACTACGAAATGGCGATAATATTCTTTGTTGCACAGACATACTCTACTAGCTTTTGCCCGCGTCTTCGTCCGCGTGGTTTAGTTAGAGGCAACAGACTAAAACAAATATGTATTTATTATATGGTGTAAATGTCTACTTGAATGTAAACTTGCATGATTTAATCTTTGACAATGACGAACTTTAATTTTAATACTGTCAAAATAGATTTTCAATTCTGTAAGAAAGTTTAATATCCGTGCTAACAGGGAAAACGTGGGCTTAGAAACAGAGGTAAATTTATACGACCGTAAGTTTTTCGCATATCAACTGCTTACGAAGAATAGTAACGTAAGATAGTTGTAGCTATGATGCCAACTTGCTAACGGTTTTTAAATTTCTAGAAATCAAAGTTGTTTGAACGCACTTCTGTTTCTAAGCCCCTTGGTGTTCCCTGCTTTTTTGTTAGTATAATAAGGTCTCTGTCTTAGCCAGGGCTCTCAAAATTTTTTGACTCTTGGAAACAGAATAAAATAAACCCTAGATTTGTGTGTAGTATTAGCTTTCCCTTCGTTTCACCCGCGTGAACTTGTTTCAAACATATAATCCTTTCTCTTGTATCACTCCTGTAGGTTTACAGTATTAAAATACGGTGTATAAATATACATTCGGTGTAATAAAAGATCTGTGCGTAGACATATATATATATATATATATATATATATATATATATATATATATATATAGTATGCGACCAAGTTTTATACTATGTATAGATGAATAACATACAAATTTTAGTTTCAAATTGAAAACAAAACGAAGATTTGTGTTAGTTCGTACCTACACACGGTGACAGTTTTGTATAGTCTGACGTGCAGTTGATTGTATTTTTGAGTGTATGTGACGTAATTTCCATAAATGATGTTTCAAAATAATGTAGGTAGTCAATTCAATTTGTTTTCCTTGTCAAAGGTTATTATATAAGTTGTTATTACCTATATAAACATATCACAAGTGACGTTCTCTATAGGTAACAAAAACAATTTTTGCCGCGCATTAATTTAGGATGATATTCAGGTTAACTTCTAATCATCTTCATTATAGTTCTCATTCCCATAGTAAGTTACTCAACAAAAATCTATTGTAGAATGCTGTTTCAAATACTTTTCTGCCTTTAGAGTTACCTCCAGCACCTGCCGCCACAATTAATGGCATTAAATGATCAGCTTCGCCATCAGGATGACAATCCAGCGCACCCGAAGCCTCTTTCCAGTGGATTATCTTCTCACGTATCGCTTCATCGCTAGTGCAAACTCCAGACAAGAAATCATCAAATTCTCTATTCTCTATATATTCATTTTTTTCAGTCCTGCAAGCCTTTAACCTCCTCATGTTATGATAAGATAACCCAGAACCAATAACAGCTACACCTTTCTTACGAAACTCACGTAGAACTTTTCCGATATTATAATGCAATTTTGCATCTTGGTTGTATAATATGGACACTTGAACTATAGGAATGTCGGCCTCGGGTCTCATTAACATCATCGGTATAAAAACTCCATGATCCCATCCTCTTTCATTATCCAATCTTGAGTTGATCTGGGCTTTTGTCAAAGCGTCGTGGATATTTCGCGCCAATTCGGGATCGCCGCGCCCTTCGTACTTGTATTTATATGATTCTGGCGGGAAATTGTAGTAATCGAACAACAAGTCGTGGTGTTCATTTGTCGATATCGACACTTGGTCTGCCTCCCAATGAGCAGTGACAAGGATAATAGCTTTCAACCGTGTCAAATCGACGACTTTTTGCACCTCCTTCAAAGATTTTGCTATTTCTAAATTGTTTTTCTCACCCAATACAGGATTTGGACCGCCGCCGTGGTTTACAAATAATGATGGAGCAATATACACTTTTCCGTCGTCCTCCATGGTCTACTTTTAATTGAAAATAATAAATTATATTTACTGTTTTATCATTTTTAATGTTTACCTAACTTCAACCACAATATTATTGTCCTGTTGATAGCAAAGTAAGTCACATGATAACGTTCAGAATTCATTGTTTAGTGAAGTGAATAGCACTTTTAATTTACGTTGTATCATAACGTTGTATGGTAGGTATCGATATAAACAGAATTCACTTACAAAATCGAATTGAATTATGCAAGCTAGTCAGATTAAGCCTCTACTCTGCCTGTATTAACGTTTCGCGTCTGGACCGCTATAAATGCGCGTTTATAAACAGGCTAGTTCTCTTAAGCACCGATTATATATAACCTGTCCCAATCCGCACTAATTGTCAATATGCGCTTACATAACCACAGCTTCTATAATAATACCCATTCACCAATGAAGTCCCCGCGCAGTCTAAATATATTCATTCATATATCTATGTACTCATATCAAAGTGCGTTCTTCTATTTATAATCGTTACTTTTAACAGTTGGATTCTTTTTTGGGCTATACCTACGATTATTTTCAATTTTGAATAGATTCAAATTTTGTTATAGTTGAATCACATATGAAAAGTCATTGTTTTATTTTTAATAACGATTAAATTGAACTTCTAACATAATAACGGCCAGTTGCATAAACAATAATGGATATTAAGATTTAATAACGCTTATTAATGTCAAATTTGTATAGGTAATGTCATTTTAAACAAATGGCAATTTTTATGGACGTTTGTGCTGGCCGTAAGTGTAACATATTTTTTTAAACAGAACAGACTTCAAACTTTAAAAAGAGTGAGTAAATATTTTAAAAGCGTTTAAATTATTCAAGAAACTTTTATTGAAGTCTGGGTGAGGTTTATACTTTAAAATATTCCAGCATAGCACTGTGGCTGGTGGATTTTGTAAGCATCTTTTATTAAGAATTAATTTAAAATAGAATTTTGAATTTAGGTCTACAATTCTCGGGAATATCGGTGAACAGTTAATACATAAAAAATCGCGTAGAACATAAAACTTCCTTCTTTTCGATTTTGTCTCTTAAAAATGACGACTGTATTAATTATTAATAATTTCCTACACATCCTACACAACAGGTACACATCCATTGACTCTTGTTGTTCTTGCAATATTTCGTACACTCGACAACTAATAAATTGCATGTGATACTTTTGATCGATTGCAACTGACCTAGTTTAAAGAAACGAGGCAATCGCGTGCTTTTGTGTCCCACTTTGCTAGTAATTCAGGAATTCGGGGAATATTATTAGAACAGAAGGAAAACGAAAGTGACCAATAAGCATACCATTGACCAAGTGTGATAACGCCTCGCTCTGCTGTCAAAGCATCCGGATTCGTTTAACGGTTTTATTATTTCGGGTTCGATCTAATGGACAACAAATATTTAGAGATCAAAATTAATTATGGTATTTACATTGTTTTAAAAAAGTTCTATGTGTATATACCATGCTATGCCTAACCATAACCTCCGCCCGACTGTCTGCATTCTAGGAATTATATTTTTATTACTTCTTTAAATTTTTAGTCAGTTCATTTTTTTTTTATAAAAAGCTTTTCCTTTATACTATTTATTTATCTATACATACTTACATATCTATATTCTTCATGCAAGGATTGTGATTTATTTTTATTCAGATAAGGAGATTTTACAAAAAAAAGAAAAATAAAACGAAATATCGCCATAACCTCGCAAAGATGTCGTATTGTCGTCTCCTACAGAGTTAAAAGGTCACACCACAGCTGGATAATAAGAAAAACTGTCCAAGGTAATCTAGAGAAGGCCCTGTATCTTTGGATCATACCTATCTGTTATCAATTAACGAGTGATGTTTTTTGTTTTTTTTGGATACTATGTATGAAATGAAACAGGGAGAAAACAACACCATTTGTAGAGTTTCTTGCTGGTTCTTCTCAGTACAGGTCTTTCGCCGTAGATTTAAAAACGATGGCATAGCTTTCCACTCTCATGTTTGTGACAGTCAAGGCTAGACTGAATAAATGATTTGGATTGGATTTATCGTTTCAAGAAAATAAGGCCAATAAAAATAAACACGTGTTAAGTAGGGTAGAAATTTTATTTTTCCCACATAATAACTGATACATAAAAAAGGATTGGATAAATGTTATAATTTTAATGATATACTGTTGAACTTGTTATCAATATTATATCATTTTATCACGGCATTAAGTAGGTAAAGCGGCTATTATATCAAGCCTTCCCTGAATCACAATACGCGGATGATTCCATATTATTTAGTATGAGGTGATATTAGCTCCATTCCACACGTGGCGCCACGCAGCGCTGGCTAAATATAACTACCGTTTTACAACTAACATCACATCAACCAATGAAAGATTCGACTACCAAGGTCACTGTTCATGACACAACAGGTTCTCTTATACCTATATTATATAACAATCGTTTAATTAACGTTTTGTAAATCTTATAAAAGCAAAGTCTACATAATTCTAGAATAATTTATACCTACGACTCAACATGAAAAGGACATTATGATTAAAAATAAATATCTATACATAGATATTTAGTTCTCAGACAGCTACTAAACAAATGACATTATAATATAATAATATTTCTTCAGCAGAATCATTATATATTTGTTAGACTATTTTACATAATATATATTGATACAACAAAGTAAAATGTAGCATCAAAACTAAACCAAATGTAGCAAGCACATGGTAATAAAAAGAGTGCCGATATTAATATTACTAATCAAAATAGATATTTAAACTTGTTTTGCAAATAAATTATTATTTTAAATTATTAAATCCATTCTTAACAATTAAAGCTCATGTAATCAGTTCCATTTTAAGTTCTAATTTCTATATGCTTACTAATTTATTTGGCAGTGCATTAATATCTATTGGACAAAATTTTAAATTGTACAAAACTTGATATCGTATCATCGTGAACTATTTTATTTTACATTATTTATTGCTATAATTTCGAAATTAAATATTATGAATTTATATCTATAAGCTAAGCATTATAATGTACGGTCGAAGAATTTTACTCTTTGATACTTTTAAAAGAATATCGCTTGCTCTAAATCTTTCCAATTTCCAATGCCAATTTCTATCACATGACATTATACTTTACACTACGAAGTATATTACACATATTTCTTTCACATTCCATCAAGAGAATTTAAAAAATAAAAAAACGGAACTCCAAATTAAAGTCTTTTTTCTGCGGTTGCAAGCATAGACAATTGCAAAAAATAGATAATTCAAGTCCTCTGCTCCACCCATCCGATCTTACCACGGCCCAGCACCACCATGAGCACCTCTTCACTCGAAGACTCCGTTGGCGCTACTCTCGTCATATGCCATGAACGCTCACGTGGTTTTGGAGTTGATGACGCTAGATGGTAAAAAAATTACCTTTGATTAACATCCATCCCGGTTTCTGAATTGAGCATTAAAAGTTAAGAACGTTTCAAACTATACTTATGTATCACCTTAATAGGTTTTCGTTCCTGATTTTGGTTTTTGAATTATTAGTTGACAGCAGTTTGTAAAAACAAGCACTTTTTGACATGACGTCATTCTAAATAATTAGTTAAGAAGTCTGAGTACAAGGAATAGTTCCTTTCCCACAAAATATAATGAATAATAAAGAATTGCTAGTTTTTTAAATTGTTTCTAATTAAATGTTTTCACAACATTCCACATGCAACAGTCTTCACGCCTTCAAGTAATGATCTCTTTAATTTGAAATTACGTTTGTCAGTCTTGTTAAAATAGGAGAAGGATGGACAGATTTCGTTAAATATTTAGAAGTACAGCATGATCTCCGAATAGTGAGAAATTCGTACGTTGACCTTCAGGCCTACTAATAGATATCGTAAACATTTTAGGTTGACTTTAACAAACTTTAACTATATCAGCACGTGTAGCATGACGAACTCGAGAACGTTTTGTCTACACTCAAATGTCACTTTTCTCGGGTGCGCTCATACAACATCTCACTCTCGACCCGAGAAAGTGACATTTGGGTGTAGACAAAGCGTTTCTCGAGTTTGTCATGCTACACGTGCTGATATAGTTAAAGTTTGTTAAAGTCAACCTAAAATGTTTACGATATCTATTAGTAGGCCTAAAGGTCAACGTACGAATTTCTCACTATTCGGAGATCATGCTGTACTTCTAAATATTTAACGAAATCTGTCCATCCTTCTCCTATTTTAACAAGACTGACAAACGTACTACACGTGCTGATTTGGCTAGACGTATCGGTGTGAGCAAAAAAGGAATATGTTTGCGTACGAGTGAATTAAATATGTAGTGCTGGGTATTTGTACGAAATTCTTTGTGTTCGGCGACGGTGCTATAGTAGAAGTCTATTGAATGTTTACAAGGTGAGAAAATATAATGCACTAGCTTTCCGCCAGCGGTTTCATCCGCGCGGTCCCTACGTAACTATTTATTTGGATATCGATATATATCATGACATGAATACAATTACAATGACAAATGAATAGTAAAAAATGGTTATTACGGTAACGTTGTAATTGCCTATACAAACTCCCACTTCCATTTTTATCTGTTTGCTGTTCAGGATAAAATATAGCTAATATTCACCGCATATGATGTAGCTTCTCGTAAGTGAAAGAATTTTTAAAATCAGTCTAGTAGTTTCGGAACCTATCCATTGCAAACAAACAAACAAATAATTAAAACTTTCCTCTTTATAATATTAGTATTAATTACATACCGCCGTCACCGCGGCGCTGTGATCGCTAGCTACGCCGGCGCATGTGAGAACAGATCGATAGTATAATATGGGACGCCACTAAACTCGAGTATATCGCTGACTGATACGTATCCAACCAGGCTGTTATTACTTCATGGCAGTTCTGGAATTTTTTGGAAAAAGAAATGAAAAAGATTCTATAAATTTATTTCAGTTACAGGCCCGGATCTACGATTTTTGTAACCTTGGCACCCAAGTAGCACAAAACACCATTATATCAAACTTATAATAGCACGAGTCCAAGCGTTAAGCATTATAATAAAATCGTATATCAACCGTATTTCTTTTAAACGACTCTTATACATAAAATTTGGGCCCCCCCTTTGTACGACTTTAAGCTTTATAAAAGCTGTGCAATAGCACTACAACTTTTGTATAATAGCATTAATAAAGTCGGGTAAAAGCATTCTAATAGCCACAAAAAGTTCAATTAGCACCTTAAAGTGCTAATTGAACTTTTTGTGACTATATTACAATTGATATGCGTAAATCAAAACTATAATACGTTAATTTAATATTATAAAAATGCTTACTGTTTTATTTCCTTTGTAAAAAAGTATATTTAATAAATTTTAAAAACATATAATCAGTTTAAATTATTGTTTTGTGTAAGTAATGACATGTTCTCTTGGCTGGTCTTTTAAGTATTTTTGAATATTGATTTAAACAGCTCGTTTTGTGTGAAATAAGCTGCACACATCAGTTTGTGGAGTAAAATATACAAGTTTATGGTGTAAAATAAACGCGCCTTCGCAAACTTCCATTAATATAATAAAAATAATAAAAAATTTAACCTAGTAGCAAAAATTTTTGTTGAATTTTAGGCTTTTTAGCATTGTTTTAACAACATAATTGCTTTTATAGGCATCTGTGCACAAAATAAATGATTATTTACCCCTTTTCATCTGACACAGTTGACTTTAAATATTTTGTAAGAATTGGAAAAAGAAAGCAAATGGCGACTCGTAAAATTAAAGCATTAGGTATTCAAATATGGTGTAGTAGAGCTGATAATCGTATTATGGTTAGACACAAAACTAAGAGCTCGTAATTCACCGTATAACACACTCCCATTTTAGTTACAGCCGTATTTTTACACTTCAGAAGTATCTTATAGTGCTTATAATCATCAAACGATTATTTAATTTTTATTTTGATTTTTAAAAGCTTCAACTAAATTAGAATACTCTTTTTTCAGTTTTCATTTATATCCACCTGTTTTCTTTGTTTTTCCCAACGTTTTTTGTCCATGGTGCCAGCGATGCGTATAAAATGCCACCATTACAATACAATACATAAAAAATTTTACATTTTAATTTCACATAAAAAATAATTACGATCTATTTATTACTTCTATCTCTATAAATAACTTAATATTGATCAAAATATAGCTTAATGTTTTATAACAGCATAGATTAAGAAGATAAAGGAGCTTGAGCTTGATTAAAGAATACTTTAAGAACAAATCGGTGCTAAAGTTTTACTAGTTCTTTATTCAATGTGTATATAGGATAAGCATTAAATCGATACAACCATAGACCATTAGAAAACCTTTGTTTCTAGAAAATGACTAAATATAACTAAGTGCACTAAATAGTATTATGTTAATGCTTATATAATATATAATGTTTTTCATATCACCGAAATACGATAACAGCTTTATATTGATATTACCCAATACTTAAATAGGAGTTTTGACATTGGTATACTTTTTTTATTAACCATAATATGGCATTAAGCATTATTAGATAAAATAAATGCCTTTAAACAGATTCGAACTTGACCAGAGCTGATTAAAAATGTTAGTATGACTTTAGGACATAAATCGGTACTTATTTCAGTTAATATATTATTTATGTGCTACTTGGGCAGACACTTCGTATCGTAAGAAGGGCGGTTTCTTCTGCCCAAAGCCCTTTTCACTCCGTGAAGCCGGATTTTATATTATGATATTTTTCTTTTAATTTATTTAACGATTTTAAAGCATGTCCCTTTCATCATAGCATTTATTATGTCTGAAGAGATTTGTAAAGCCGGTGCTAGGGGCAAGTACCAGTGGCGTAACTATACTGTTTGAGGTGCGTGGCAAATTCATCGGATATTCTATTTTTTTTTTTACTAATTGTGGAATAATAAATGACAGGAGTAAGGAGTTTCCTCTGACCGGGGGCCCCTTCCAGCTGGGGGCCCATGGTATTTTGCCGGCTTGCCACCCTTTAGTTACGCCACTGGCAAGTACCCCCACTTGCCCTCTCCTAAATCCGGGCCTGTTTAGTTACAGAAACTAAACACAAAACAGACACATATTTCACATTAAAATAAATTGACACTACATTATGGTAACATAGTTAATAACATGGTAATTTATGAATACCTTATTATAGGCGTTGCTTAATGTACAATTGTCAGGATGCGCCCTCGGCCCGCAACAGGACCAGGGAGGTTTCAGTGTTTCTGCCGAAGATCTAAGCAGGGCAAATGTAATAGTACTTAAGGCGCTTCCGGTATGCCTTGCCGAAGTTAAGCACAACATACTTAGAGAATGGGTGTTTTAAAAAAATATTATCTCGAGCTCCTTCACGCTTTGGAATGGTTAAGCCGTTGGTCCTGGCTGCATCTGCAACATCCAACAATCCACACTAGCCCATTGTGGTGGTTCGTGGCCCAATAGTGGTGATATTTATAAGCTGATGATAAATAAGACTGTCTATTATTTACTTTTTTCTTAAAAAGTTGAGTTTGATACGACCATACAAATTCTGGGAAGAAGTAAAGTACTTTATTTCCTATAAGGGATATTAGTATATAGAATAATTGCATATAAGTCCCTGTTTAGCCGAAATCTAACAGATAAATTCTGCTAATGCTTACGTAATAATGGGCATCTCTATACATAGAATCTCAACTACTCGCATCTTGACATTGTACTATCTACCTGCAGCCAAATATAATTATATATCTGTCACCATTGATGTGTAGCTCGGTGGCGTAGAGGATAAGAACTTTCGCAAGGTCGGTAACGGCATGGGTGACCAAAAATTATTATATCGAGCTACTTCGTGCTTCGGAAAGCACGTTAAGCCGTTGATCCCGGCTCCCGGCTAGTCGTCCAATTCGCATTGGGCCAGCGTGGAGGGTCAAGGCTCATCCTCCTTAACCAACCATAAGAAAGGCCTGAGCCCCTGCAGTGGGGACGTAAAAGGACTCATGATGATGATGATGATGGTGATTGAAGTGTGAGGAAGAAATTGCACTAATAATATTGGACTTTAGGTGGATTGTACCACACAGTGGTAGAATGCAAGTCCTTGAGATGAGATTAACAAACATTAGCAGACTTGGCCTGCAATTCGACAAAGCCACGCACAGATGCTCTGATAAACAATCTACTTACGTATTGTGATCACAGCAGCCGAATACTAGACGGACAGCATGGGTCCATTGTCCATCTTGCTCCTGTAACCCTTTCTATAGAAGATATTTTTTGTTAAGAGACATTTATTTAGGCATAAGTACTAGTGATCGCTCAATTGCCGAAAAATTTTTGTGTGCAAAGTCGTAGAACGCGATCTTTCCCGGTCGCACATTAGCCGATTCGCATAATTTTGTTAATATGTGCAAATTTTTTGCAATGTTTATTGCCGATTATTTTTAAATTATCAATAAATTTTATATTACCACCCCTTCTAATAAAATGATGCAACGAATAAACGCGTAAAGTTGCCTGTATATTTTACTGCATTAACATTTATATTTTTCATTTACATAGGTATATGAATCATTAATTGCATTGTATTTGTTCTAAATAATACTGAATTACAACTAGTTTATTTAACCAGTGGTGGAGCACCTTTTAGGCAAATTTGGCAATTGATCCGCAATTAATCTACTTAATAGATTTGCTGGCAAAATCTCATCAGGTACTAAAGCATTAATTTATTGCATAACATCTGTGCTGAGCATATATCAGCGAAGGTTCGCATATTTAAAAAAAAATATAAATAGAAGTAAACATTTTGTTCGTGGTATGACAGACACGAGGAAAGAGAGCTAATGAGGAGTCATATATCATACTATCCGTTCGATATGACCCTGACATAAAATTTATTAGAGTTGTTTTAGAGTGCTTTCAAAACGATAATATAAACATGTAATGTACCTCAATGAAAGTAGATGTGAAGTAATATAGCAGTGCACACTCAAGTAGTAATAACAGCAGCACCATTGTAGAATACTGTAGATGAAAAAGATTTAAGCCATTGATAAAATAAAATGTTTTCCTTGTAATCAAAAATTTTTAAAATAAAAGATGTACTAAGAAAATCTGGTTTAGATTTCACGCCGGTTTCTACGTGTCACCATCTCTGAATTTCCGGGGTCTGAGTTGTTGAGGTTCCTTCGTAGTCACACGAACTATTCAAACATATTGTATGCAAAGTAGGTAGGACAAAAAAGTAATTACTTCCAACGGCAATATAACTTACCATGAACAATAGGAATTGGGACCTGGTGATTGCACCCCAGAATCCCATGACTGCCACGAAGAACATGAAGGTTGCTAGAGCGGAGAGACCAATGCCCAAACGAACTGTCAGTACATCCGCGGGGAACAGCGCCTAACGAGAATTAGTTTTTATATCAAAAACGTGTATTTTTGAGATACGGGATCTCACTAAACAGACAAGTCGGTCATTTTAAAATGTCGCTTGAGACGTGAGAGATGTCGCTTGTTTCTCTAAAAGTAAAAATTTTTAGAAACAAGCGACATCTCTCACGTCAAGACGTCATGGTTGTGTATAAAATATACAAAAGCGCGACATCATGTGATATTTTAACTCGCACGCAGAAAAATCATAAATGCGCGTAAAATATTTTAACAAACACAACAATTTGCCTGACGGACAAAAAGTATTCTCATAATCCCTATAGCAATGTAATGGCGTAGTTACACTGGCCTATCAGCACACGGAGTACAGGTAATCTCTACACGCTTATCTCATTGTCCATTAAACAATTATCGACCAATGAAAGCGAGGAACGGAAATCGCCCTCACGCCGCATACGGGAGTCATAGATCAACGTAAATACGCCATTAGATAAACTGGACATGAACTAGGAAAATATTCATGAAACTTATTGCATAGCGTCAAATATAGCTCTTATGAAATATAAAAAAACATTACAATACAAGCTCACCTAATCGTTTAACAAAAAAGTACTTTATAATGGAATGAGTTCCGTTATTACACGGCTATTATGCAGCTATATCCGGGTCACTAGTACGATCCCCACAATGCGTGCCCCAGATGATACACGGATGACTATCCAAAATTTTGTTTACATATTATTTACTAATGGTTGCTTGCGGTTTCGCTCGCGTGTTAAAGAAGTCCTTGTCAATCTCCAGCGGTGAATACGAATACTATTATTTGCCGAAGATCATTACGAAAATATAAAAAATATATATTACAAAACTGAATATTAATTGGTAAAAAACGCAGGAAGAGATTAACGTTTGGATGTGAACATTGTTAAACGCCTACCCACATTCGACCTTCACTGCGATTAAACTGCGGCTGTAATGTAATATAGACTTCTAGGCGTACACGAAGGCTTAACCATAAAACTTTCTACTGAAAGCCCAATATTATCATATATCAGGCATTGCACTAATAATGTCGGACTTTAGGTAAAAAGTATTATGGTAAAATGCAAGTCGTTTAGATTCTACCGAGATCCGATTATTAATATAAATTCGATTTAAACGCTACTATGCACTTCTAAATTGTGAACGAGAACATTAACTTTTGCTAATTAAAAAAAAAGCGCGCGCTTTTCGTTTCATCCTATATTTTAAGCCATTTTAGGTTACTGATGTTCACAGCTCTATTAATAAAATCTATATAAAGTGCACGTCACGGCATGGTACGGGTTCGCCATGACGTTATCGTGACCCTGCCCACATTATGGTGTACAAATTGCTGATAAATGTGCGAATGTTTGCGCTACTAAACTTAAAGATAGGTATATATCTAACGTAAAATTTTCATCATCGATATTTGTATTAAATAATTCCGACTACATGAATAATGGGTTGCCACCTCTCAATTAAGTAAATCATCGTTAAATACCATATATCCTGACGGTTGACGACAAACAGCTGATACGTTCTTTTATTTATCATTATCTTACGTTTCTTTATTTCAAATGATAATGAGACCGAGAAGCAATTTCCTATTATTGGGCTCTAATAGTAAAACTATTGTTTGCTTGTCCTTGTTTCTTTGTCATATGCATTACGATGTTTATATAATTTAAGTAGGTGGAAAAACTTAATGCCTGCAGAATTGATTGCTGCAATTGAGCGCTACCACCATTGATACATTTTGTATTTATTTCTGCATTGACATTTGGCTCGTTCACCTTACAACAGCAGAAAGCATACATACATACCGCACAAGATTTTGAAGCATATAAATTAATTCATCAAGTAATAGATAAATATGTCTGTGATCAAGTTAACAGAGTAACATTTTCGAAACAAATTTTTGTTTATAAATTTAAAAAATGTTGATTCTACAATTTTTATTTTCTCTAGACTTTTTAATTACCAGTTATTACACAGAAGACTAATTCATTGTGTTTTTTGTGATTAGAATAATACACTATCATTAGAAACATCATTTCAAATCTAATATTTCTACTTATATCGGTGTCCCCATCCTAATGTAACGTATAGGATTGCCTTATATATTGTATGTACTCACACGCGTGCATTATGAAATTGCCTCGATTTAGGGCACGATAACCTCGCTATTGTCAATTCACTGAGCATGATAGGGGTGGTGAAACTAATCCAACTTTAACATGTCACGTAACAATTATAAATAGGTACTTCCATTCAAAGCTCAATTGACTGCCCGAGAAGCTATAAATTCTTTTTATAAAGACTTGATAATTATTTGTTTTCATCATAACTGAAAACACTTATAAGTATCAGAAGTAATTACTTGACTAGATTTAAGAAATACTCTTTGCAAATATTTTCATCTAATAAACGAGACTTTGAAATGAAATAGCTAATAATAATGTGTTCTAACTATTAACGGTTCTTATTTCATTGATATTCTTGTTTGTATGGTAAAAATATTTGCTTAAGTTATGAAATTTTCTCAAGTAATTACTTCTCTCGACCAGACCAATTTCACCGGGGTTAAAATTAATTTCTCGATTCTATGAATATAGGTTTTTGATCGGATGGATGCATGGATGACTGTGACCTTTCTCAACATTGATACGTAAGTTAAAAAATAAAATTAAAAACCTGTAAAGTTTATAGTAGAAAAAAACAGGAAGGATATTATAAAACTAATAAATTAATAGATAACAACACAAATTGATTAGTCGTCGGCATAAAAAAATTAGACGGTAAAATTGTATCATGGTATCGCGTTCCACATCTGGCACTGTAATAATTCATGCCTGTCGCGTGATAGGACAGGGATACCTTTAGTGATCTGTCCACTTTTTTATTTATTTTCTTAGTAGTAATAAATAATTTGTTATACGTTACGCGAGATATTATTTAATAACTAACACCCGGTTTCTGAATTGAAAATGTAATATTAAGGTCTCTAATTTCTAACTTAAACGTCACGTTAACTTATTTTTATTTCTGATTTTAGTTTTTATTTATTTATCTTGCAAAACCGTTAGCTATTCAAACAAGATAGATTAAAGCCTAACATACAATAAGCCAATTATAAGTTTTCGAATATAGATAAAGCTTAGATTTAATTAATTATTTTATTTTGTACATAACAACACATTTTCAATTCAAAAACTGGCTATTAATGCTAATCAAAAAGTAGTTTATTGAATACGTATCTTTCCTAAAATTGAAATTATACCAATAAAACGAGAAAGTATAGCATCATCACCGCAACAATTTGAACAGTAGCGAAGTTATTCTTAATTAAAATAGGTAACTTAAGTTTATGTACTTATTCAATTCTCGAGTTGGTTTGTAATGCCATAATTTGGGCAAATAGGTATGCCAATGACCAGTGGCAGACTAACGTCATCGGAGACCCGGGGCGGCAATAGGCCCAGAACGACAACTATTAGCAACCAGGATAGAAATTTGATATTGCGATACATTTTTAACATGGCACCAAAGGGCCTATTCCATTTCTGCGAAAACGAAATTCAGTCTGTTTTCGATATGTTAATACGACTCCAAAAAATGCAGTATTTGATGCAACGGAGCACAGATAATCAACACGGATATTATTTTTTTAAATTACATACATGAACCAAAACATTTTCCGAATTATCGTTTGGAGACAATAGAATAGGCCCTCAGGTATTATCTTAATTCGTACAAGTTATAGGTTTTAACCATCGAAACTAATTAAAATATCAATATGTAGCTTGTTTAGTATTGAAAAAAAAATATACACATTACCTTTATCGTGGCACTTCCAGTAGACTGTATAGCAAAGTAGAGAGTAGTTGGTGATGCTGTTGACCAAAGGCCGAAAGCGAATGTGAGGGCGCACAGCATCTGCATGAAGTATTGACATTTAATATTTCTTTTACACCAGTACGCGTTTTTAATTCATAGATAGTGACATCACGAAGACTCGGGGGCACAAATTTTGTCCTAAGATATCCGCAGGTCCGTGAGGTTTGATCCGAAGTCATTGTCGGCTGGAAGTTGCACACGGACCAGGGGTTCCCAATTTTGATTGGTCTCGGAATCCTAATTGACAATATTTTTATAACAGAGCTCTATTTTGATAAAGCGAATATGGGCAAAGCGTTGTGTTATTATAATAAACATTAACAAATAAATACACATTTATAATTTCCATCCCGTTATCCTATGAGTTTATATGGAGTATTATTGATCAAAGCCTGTCAAGGATAAAGATTTATCATCACCTTTGTTTCAATTATTCAAGGTTTACATTTAGGAATCCCAATTACTAATAAAAACGCCGAGGTTAAGGCACAAGGTTAGGCGTTTCGGAGTGCCTTAAGTTCAATGTCAGATTGTTACACCATAAGTAGGAACTGGGCTGTATGTTTAATTTTAAAATATACCCTAATCAGTTTTAAAGGTGTAGCGATTCAGATAGTGATCTATGAATTATGTAACTTTTGAAAGTTGCAATCGCTTTTGAAACTGATGATGATTTGAATGATCAAAAAACACAATAAAAATTAAATTAAACCCGTCAAAAGATTGCAGTAAGCATTCAACTCCTTCATTTGACATTTTCTTAACAGCCTTGAAATTGGCTTAAACAATTATATCATTCATTCAGTATCTTTCAAAAAACGTCGCGATTGTATTCGCTGTCACATGAAAAATAGTTTTTTATTCATATTTTTATGGGCTTTTGAACTTAATGTTCATGTAAGCCCAATATTAACAAAATAACAAATATAAGATCTATATCTATGGAAACATAACTTTGTATACCATGTTGAATAACATTCTAGCTTCATCCGACAATGGATACGCTAGGATACCTTGAAAATCACCTATGTAATTTTTATTGTAATGACAAATAGTTGTAGCGTGAAGTTCGTGAATATATTTCAAAAGTCAAATCGCAAGGGATTACAATAGGTTTTAAAATTAGGCCCTTGGACTGATTGAGAATGAGTATGTACGATTGACGCCTGTCGCTTTTTAGCGGCCGGTAACTAATCGATTTCGAATTCAATACTTATTGTGTTTACTTGTTTTTAAAATTGAATTGAGCGCCAATCCGTTTCCGTCAGCGTTTTTACGTAACTTTTGAAATTTTTGCGATACATTGGAATACTTAAAAATATTTATCAAGAATATATTTTCGTTTAAATCGAAATTCAAATAATACCTGTTTGTAATTTTTTTTTCAGTTGTTACTTAGATTACATCGCAAACTCTTTGAAAGGTATAGCGACTGTGGTAGCTGTGATTTATAGAATTATGTAACGTTTGAAGTAAAATGATCAAGGAACATAATTAAAGTTTTAACATACTCCTTGATTGTAGAATTTGACAATCAGAGCCCTGTACACTCGAAACGCTTACACTAAAAACCAACAAATAAGATCCAAATAACCTATAATTAAAAATATTATTTTATAAAATAAAAAGCGTGAAGTGAAGGGTGTTCTCTGTAAGGTATTGCCTCACTCCAAGTAATTTTTAATTATTTATCCGACTACCCCATGATAAAAATTATCGAAGGCAACTAACTCTCCACTCGTGACTAGTACCTACGCCGTGCGCGCTTACTTCGCGTTGCTGTTTTGCTTCTAGTTAAACAATATCTGTTTGAAAACTTTGAAACTAAACCAAAATATTGTAGTGTATATTCATTTATAAATCGAGTATTTCGTTCTTTAGGTATTCCGGTAATTTATTATAGATATATATTATATTAACATACGTAATTATAATTTTGTGATGGTGTATAAATATAAATACCATCGAAAGTGTTTATGAATTATTTCTGCTTATGATTTCGTTTACCAGATATCAATTTGTAGTTAATCAAATTTCATCCTCGAATATCGCCAAATTGAAATTGATATTGAATTGTATAGTTACGTATGCTGTAAAGATCATCGGTAACCACCAGCAACGCAATTAAAGGCGCGTGAGTTTTTCGTTGTTACCACGCCAATCGATCGTTTTTGTTGTTTCGAACAAATGATGGTATCAATCTCCCGCGCTCCTCTTTTACCAACATGCTCTGCGTCACGTCACATCCATCGTCCATGCCACTTAACGGGTTCGCGCTATAAAATCACTGATCAAACTAATTTGACAGAGGTCTTCTGTCTGTTAAGCAATACCTTAAAGAGAGCCACAAATAAGAACCCTCCCTCCCCCTCCCCCCTCAGCTCGCCCCATCACATGGTAACGTAATAACTACGGCACTACATTCTTCCAGAGCAGCGTGATATACATGCAGTTCTACGAAACGTATGTACCTTACGAGATGTCAGCAGAGCAGATTGCAATTGCCTCTATCAGAGGGTAAATAATTCCCAGCATAACCTTTTTTAAACTATTAAGTCGAAGCAATAAACATATTTCTTATATAATCTGCGTACGATGATATATTGCATGAAATTGTCGTACACGTATGATGTTGTGATCACTCCTCGTATTACTCTCAGCCAAGACAGAAAGGAAGGTTCCCTTTCCCCTAAACCATCCAAGCACTCTAACACGAAATTGTGGGTGGTGGGGGCAACAAATTAATTGCTGTAATTGGTCGAGCAGCTTGTGACAATATACACTAGTTGTAAACTGTATCATATTCATATAAATAGAGACTAAGTCTTTAAAATTCAGTGTGAATTTCAATTTCAAGAAGAAAACTGGTAGACTGCTTAAAGAAAAATACAAATCGCCATGAAGTATCGAAATCGACTCGAAGCTAAGTTAAAACGAATAGAAAATGAAACTCGATTAGGCATTTTGCAATTACGACTTCAAGAAGTACAATTGCTAGAAGAAGAATTGATGAGAGAACGAGAGAAAGTAATACCAAAATCTAAAAAGAAGAGACGACAAAACTCACACGAACGACAAGACCGCATTGGATTGGAAACTATCGATAAAGCTTTAAAAGAAATACGAAATTTACCAGAGGTTACGTTTGACGGCATGAACTTGAACTTCTTTGCGGTCAAACTAAAGGACTTGGTCTACACTATTAAAGGAATAGAAGAGTGTTATTTGTACGACCCAAGATTATGCAGTAATGTAATCTCGAAGCTCCCCCCTTTCATGGTTATGAGATGGTGCGACTACGCAGCGCAGCACCATACACACGATGTACCAACAATAATGACATTTACTGGATATATTAATTGGGAAGCGGACTTAGTGATGCGATACGGTTACATATCACTCGCGCCAGTCTCTTTCTACATGGACTATAACGATTGAAACTGATAAAGACACTGACTTGAAATGAAGCTCTAACTGATTTTGCATGAAGATCTCACTATGTATCGTGAATTGTTTTGTGTTATTAAGTGTTAGTTAACCATCGTTTTGTTTTGTGTTGAATCTGTTCTAATTATGGTATAAAACTTTTGAAAATTGTTGATTAGGTAATGTAAGTTTTAATAATAATGTTAATGAATAATGTAAACTTTTAAAACATTTTTAATTAATAATGTTGACTACAAATAATTTTACATATTAATGTAAGCTTTTAATACAAGTTTTAATAAAAAATAAAAAAAATTACTTGCATCTTTTAATTACATCTAATATGATTAATTCAATGTATCACGCCACTTGTAGGGTATTTTTTAACTTTTAATAATTATAATACCTACAAACTAAAAAATATGTAAAAAGTCGTTAGGTTTTTTTATAGTTGATGAAATTTAAATCCCCTCCGCTAGTGTGGCCCCCGTAGGCGGGATGGGGGGGGGGACGCCCAACAGGTGGCGTGATCAAATTTGATTAATCTTATTGGATGTAATCTCTCCTCTCCTGTGTAATACATCCAATAAAATTAATCGATTATGAATTGAACCGTTTACATTACTTTTAACTAAAATTCTTTCTAAAAGTTTTATGCTATAAAACTTTGCTATATTGCTATAAAAAATTGGAACATATTTGACACAAAATAATGGTTAGGTAACACTATAACACTTTACCTTCGTTTTAGTCTGTAGAAAGAAGAAGCCCATCATGAGATCCGCTACTCAAATAAATTTTTCGCGAATGTCAAATAGGTTGATATCACTGAATTCGGGCCACTTTAGAACCATGAAACGGGGCAACTCGGCTTGCAGTAGCGTTGATCGTTTTGCTCGTGGTCTAGACAAAGTAATATCACTTGACAACCAGAACGTATGCAAATCCGACCTCTGGCAATCTTCGAATTTGCTTTTAAGTATTATCCCACACGACCTTGTCTCCGAAGTGGGTATTATTTCTCTTCCAATCACAATAGATGGCGTTATATGTGTCACCGATATTTATATTTTGATGTTTGAAAAATCAGAATAGATTTTCCTTGACTGAGACTTCTGGATCAATTTTAAAATCATACGCGCGTGACATAGGCTATAATTAAATCGAACGAAGGAAAGAAAACATCTTGTATACAAAATAAACATGGAAATAAAACAGTTAAGCTTTGCTATACTAGATGGCGTTATATACAGGTGTTTTGCATCTTATTCGTCCTTTTCGTGATTTTTTAGACAGCAAGTCTTTGAAAAAGTTTTCTGTCGTCAAACAAAATTAACTACTTACATATAGGGACGGATGCTAGGTTTTATAAAATAATCAATTCATCGCTTTACAATACAAATACGATAATATATATTTTATAGGTATTTAACAAATCCAAAACTTTTTTTTTGTAAAAACTTTATTTATATAAATCAAATTAATTTTATTATAGCGGCGGAATGCAGATATTCGAATCCTCTGCGGTAGGCCCTAAGAATTTGTGGAGTCTTGTGGTCCTTCGCCTCAGCAGTGAGGCATCAATATGCTGACGACGTCGTTGCTGATAATTA